TAAAGTTTAACAGAGAAAGTAAATTTGAAGATTAAAATAATGTTTTATTAGTACCTATATAATTCATTATCTTTCAGGTGCACAACACTAAGCAATTCATAAGAATGATTATTGTTATCCCCATTTACAGAGAAATGAGGTGAATTAAATGATCTGCCTTATGACACACATAGTGTTAGATTCCAGATCTGGCTCCCAGTTCTGTGCTGTACCAACTAGGTCACATTTAGCAATATACAACTTCTAAATATTCCCAGTTCTATATTCACCAATATCTGGTATCTTAATATTTCAATTTATTATTTTTTAAGCTTCAGTTATATATTACTTTAGCTCTGTTAACATTATATCAGCACAATATACAGAATTTTTAAAAATTTAGGGATTTATTTCTCCATTGACCATTGATGTGAAAAGTTATTGCATTTTTTCCACTGGAATCAGTTACTGCAGTAGTAGGTAAACTACACAATACATTTATTGCTGCAGTTGAAGGACAAGCTGGTGAGTGACCGGACAGAAAAACTAGAGCCAAGAGAGCTGATGTTCTCTGCCAGGGGTGGAAGGATCTGTAGTCCATCAATTAGATCCATGCATGTACAACCACCCACTGAGATCACTCTCCAGTGTGTCCTCCCCCAGTCAAAAGGCTGAGTCTCTTTTTAAGTGAATACACATCCAAGAACAAAATTCTTGTCCAAATTGCACATACTTGTAACTCGAAGATCACTACTTCTCAAATGTTCACTATTTTGTCAAAAACTGCATTAAATTACAAAGGCTGAAAGAGAACTTCCAAGATGGGGATTTGAATAATCAAAAGCAGCACTGTGAATTTAGTCCAAATGTTCTTAGAAAAGTATGTAGGAGGGTAGTTTAGTTTTAGTTTAAAATTATAACAATTTCTATCCCCAATCTAGGATACCTGACACCTGCTCAGCAACCCAAGCTGCTGAAATCTGTTAGATCTACAAGAGAAAGGAGTAAGTTTTCTCCCAAGGGAAGACACACTATCACAAAAGAGATCTCTTTAATATAAAGAGCAGGAAGGACTTGAAATAAGCTAAAAGTATGTCTCTGGCACTGGCAGGAAATGGTGTGAAGTCTAACTTTGCCAAAGCCAGGTTATGTTGTTTCAATTATGGAAAAAACTGGATATTAAGTAACAAAATATGAGTAACATGTTCTGTTTGCAGTTTTGGTGTGAGGCTTCTGGAGTTTAGGCTAATTAACAAAGAACAACCCTCCTCAGATCATTAAACAATATCTCCCTTTGTACATCACCAAGACATTCCTGCTGTAGTGATGGTTCCTACCATGTGGTTCAAATATATCCATCAAGATAATATTGATTTGCATTCTTTTATTAAAGAATGATACCCCAAACCCTTTGACTTATTAGCTGATAATGTATTATTACCTGTGGGGAAACAGCATTTTTCTTCCACAAAAGGCCTTCTTCCCCTGAAGCAGTCAAGGAAAAACAAAACCAGCAGAGAATTACTCACCACACTTTATGTATAATGCTTGTTCATGGTTACTTTGTAAAGGTTATTGCATCACTCTATCTATAAATACTAATTTAACTATAGAATTAATCTGCAAAATTTAATATCTAATTCCAATCCCCAGATAATACTTAGCACACAATTAAATAATTAAATGTTAAATTAATAGTCAATTAAAATTTAATAATTGATCTTGATTTATCATCCTAAGAGTCCTCTCAAGATTTCCTGTTTCTGCAAGTGGGATAAAAAATTGAAGTCCTACTAACTCATCACTAGCAAAAGACAGTCCCCAGTGCAGAATATGTATGGGAGTGGAAAAGAGTAGGTCAGCATTTCTCTTAGTTTTTCCTTCAGCAAGTAAACTTAATTGCATACAATTAAAATGTACTTTGTATCAAAATATGTGTTTCCTTCAGCTTCAGACAGTGAGAAAATATTAACTAATGTATGACATTAATTATTTTATTTTAATTTATGGTAAAGAGATAACCACTGAAAAAAGGACCTGGAACCAGTCCTGCCACTCTTGCAAAGCTGATCCAGGTGATGCGTGCTGAGGTAACGAGGCTGTACCTGAGTAAAGAGCTTTTCTGTTTTCCTGCTATAACTAGAGCTAGGTTGGTATGAGTAGTGACTGATCTACATTATCTACTTAAGGAGTCATTTAACTACTTCAGTTTAGTGCTAATAAGAAGTTTCTGATAGTTTTTGCTCATTCTTTAGCACCACATCTCAAGACATACTGGAGAAATGAGAAATGGGCTATCTCCCAAAGCTCTGCTTCCAGTTCACAAAATATTCTGGGTTGGAAAGGACCCACAAGGATCACCAGGTGCAGCTCTTAAGTGTTTATCCCATACAGAGATCAAATCCACAGCCCTGGTGCTATTGGCACCATGCTGTCAGCACAGCTGGTGGTTTCATAGCCTGGCCATAAGGACTTCCAAATTTATTTATACATCCTTACACCTCTATCATTAATCACTAGAATATAAAGGACTCCGTGTTCCTCTTCTGTGCTTGTGCAGCCCCCTATTCAGAGAGCCTTTGATTGAGAGTGGAGACCCTTAAATGTCTCCACATTAGAGATTTTAAAAACCAGTTCCATAACATCCTGCACTGATCGTTGCTTGTTGTAGCTGCACACACACTGGTAGGTTTAACCTGGAAATGCAGGAGAGCCCTGAAAAACAATTGCTCCCTTGTATGGAAAACATCTTTGGAGAAAACAGTGCCAGGACAGTTACCTAGACAGTTATTTAGAGCCCCTTCTCTCACTGAAACGTCCCTTTCTTGCAAAGTGTCTGTGACATCAAATACTTCTAGGTAGTGGGAGGCCAATTTTAAAGCACAAATATTTGGATAGCACATCCAGATTTTATATGCAGAGAGGTAGGAGTAAATGTCTGAATGTGCAATTGTTTAGGCATAAAATTGGCTATTGAGTTTTATTACTAAATTCCAATTTAAACTGAACTGTTAAATTCAAATAATTAAATTCAAACCTCAAAGCCTTTTCTGCTCTTTTTCCTAGTGATACCTCACACAAGATAAATTTTCTGTTACTTAATGGTGGCTGAAAGGAAGAATTTATTGAGCTGTGTTCTGAAGTTACTGTTTAAAGAGCACCTGTTTGCAGAGATTACTCCTTTCTCACATAGGAGCTAAAGGCTTACCTATTACCAGTTCAACCCAGTAGGTAGGGCCAGCTGGAAAAAATTATGCTCAAGACTTCATGCAGGTAGAAGAACAGGCTGAAACCTCCTGTTTTGAGGTTCAGTCAGTTCCTCTTATTTACTACACTGCTTTGTTTTGCAGGTACTTCAATAGACATTGGCTTTTTCAAAGGTAAATAATGCAGAGTGAGACAACTGCACCTGTGCCATTATCATAGGGTTAGCCTGAAACTTATTTATGAACATTTTGCCGTTTCTCTTGGCACACTGAAGGTGGGCAAATACACACAAATTATTTCTAACAGACATTAGTTTTTGTGGAGACCATTGCGAGTGGTGATAAAATAACCAGTTAAGAAAAACAACAGTACTTTTTTCCTGTATTGTATGGTTGTCATACTGAGAAACGAGTTCTTAAATGATGCAGCAAATTCAGAGATGTCTAGAGTCATCATTTTAAATTTTATGTATTTCACTTTTTGACCCAAGACTTTACTAGTTTACCTTTAACTTATAATGTTTAAAGAAGCAAGATAATTTAAGAAAGAGATTTGGTCCTTGTTTAATTTCAAGAAATGAAAAATCCTAGGGAACGGAAGCAAGAAGCTAATTACTTTCTCTGTTTCAAAAGCAAAAAGTCTTCAGTTGTGTGGCTTCTACTTAGCCCCTAAGGTTTGAATGTCACCTCATTCTTGTAAAAGTTTTAAAGTTCTTTTAAAAGTTTTCTATACCTTCTGATGTTTACATATTTCTACTAGAGTTCTCACACACTGTTCATGTAAATAATGACTGTTTTATATTCTTCTTTGTGGGAGGAGAGAATTGATGGACTGTTGGTTTAACCAGTGTAGTTGGAGAGGTGGCAATTTCATCCTCCAATCCACTACCACTTTTAGAATTCCATACATTACAAAATCAAAATTAAAGTTCCCTCCTTTTACTCTTTTTCTTCTTTTATATCTAAAGTGAGTGCATGAATTATTTTGTATCATAGTGTGACATTTGAATACCTCTACTCTTTCAGGACTTTGAAAAATTGTTTATACCCTGGATGACTGAGTTTTTTCCAGGCTTCTGTCAATTTGTGCTCTGCTTCCCCATCTTCTCTTCTGGTCTCTGCCAATTCAGTTTATTTTATGTACATTCACATAAAATGCTTTTTGATCACAGCATCTTTTAGCCTCCTTTCCTATATAAGTCCATTTTCAAGGGCATTCATGGACTATGTCACCCTGTACTCTCAGCCTTCTAGGCCAGGACTTACCCAAAACATTAAATTTTAAAACACCTTGACCAGCCTCCATGCCACTCTTTGCATGTGGGAGCTGCTCATTCACTAAACTCACGTTGTTGCTGTTCAAATCTGTCCTTAAAGCCTTCTTTTATTCTGATGTTAATGTGAAAAAAAAATACTATTAGGCAACTGGAGTGCTACCAACAGCTTGATCTATTACATTGACTAATATTGCTTCATTATAGGCTGACATCTCTCTTCCTGCATGCATTAATCATCTACTCTTTGAGGCAAAGTGTTCTCTCTGCAGAAAAATCTAAGGGCTTTAAATAATGAGATTATGCAACACCTACATGGTGCGATGTGTCAATTGTACAGCCGCTGCTACACGAGCCTAAAGTCTGTGATGAAACAAATAACTTGGTATTTTCACATCTAGCTTGCTTTATACGACATCTTACCATAAATTCCACCTTGCAGGTCTGGTCTGTATAGTAAATATTCAAATCTGAGAAGCAAATATACCTGTTTTTTTGTTTCAGTGCCAGCTAATGAGTGGCTCTTCAGACTGCACACAGCTGCCAATTTATCATTTTTTTATTATTCATTTTTCTTTTGTTTCTCCCTGCTGAAAATTGTAGCAATTACTAAGTTCATCTCATTGATAGAAATCATTGGCAATTGTCTACAGTTGTAAAAGAAATTTGACTGTCTGATTTCCGTGGAATAGACAGCAATTTCCTCATCACAGCACATGAGGAATTTTTTGTGCCGTTTAATATATGAATATGTTTGTTTAAATGTAGTAAGCAAATGATCAGTGAAAGCAAATTGGTGGGGAAGGCTTTAAAAATACATTTAAACTGAAGGTGGAAATGGATTCTTGGAGAAAATTGAGGATGAGACTGCAAGATGGCAGGAATGTCACAGTGTTCTCTGATGGGGGTTTTTGAAGCTCACACACCTCTAGCGATGGAAGGAACCTTGAAGAAAGCACAAGCTGAGCACCGTGAGGTTTTAGTAAACTGGATGAGTCAACAGCTTCTTTGCCTTGGATACTTTCTGCACTTGTGGTCTTTTCTTCCCCCATGCTCTGGTGGGAAAGTCTTAGAGTAGAGGAGCACGTGTGTCTTTTTGGGTCACTGCTGAACACCATCACCCAGATCATGCCATATTCTCCGTTTAACTCCTTGGTTTTCATTGGGAATGGCTTTGCACTGAAAGGCAAAAGGTCTAGATTAGATTTGTGAAAAACGCCAATCACTTGTTTTTTAAAATTTTAAAAGTTTAATAATAGTAAAATGGTTATAAAAATAGTAATACAATTAGAGTAATAAAGTTTAGAGGTAGGACAATTACAAGACAATAAAAACCAAAGAATTATGGACGTCCAGATGCTCTTGGACACTTAGTCATGGAAAGCATACCTTGTGAACAAAGGAATAATCTTAAAAGCAATAGCCTGTTGCATATTCATATATCCTTCATGGTTATGCATACATTCTGTTTAAAACAAGAACTCTGTTGTATATCAACTGTTTCCTTTAATCCCTGAGGCGTCTTCGAATCTGAGCAAGGCCTGAAGAAATTAGCTTCTTCTGATAAGAAAACCATAAATTCCTTTTCTTTGGAAGATTTAGGTGTTCCTCGAAGCGAGTATCTCATTCTTAACAAAAAAACTCCCCTCACATACATAGTCTCTATGTTGGAACCTAAAACTATATTAATTCTCTTAATACAGCATAACTTTCTAACGTTACACATATAATATTCATTGTAATAATTGCGAAAAGACAATCATTAAAATATGCGTTTTTCACAGATATAAGGAAAAATTTCTTCCCTGTGAGGGCAAGGCACTAGAAAACCCTTCCAACCCAAACCAATTACGATTCTCTCATCTTGCCTTTTTACTTTTAAGAACATACAGGTCTCCTGTTAAAGGCGTGAGCAGTTGGAAGCCATTTGCTTTTAGATGTAACTACACAACCTCCATCGAGCAGAACTGGAGCGGCCTTTGAGGAAAAAATTCTTCCCTGTGAGGGCAGCAAGACACTAGAACCCTTCCAACCCAAACCAATTATGATTTTGTCATCTTGCCTTGTTACTTTTAAGAACACACAGGCCTCATGTTAAAGGTGTGAGCTGTTGGAAGCCATTTGCTTTTCGATGGAAGTACACAACCTCCATCGAGCACAACTGGAGCACCCTCACAGCCTGCCACCCTGCCCAGGAACCAGGGCGCGCTGTTATTTTGTTTATTTAACCCTACACCTCATCCCCTTTCCCGCCCGCCCTCACTCCCTCAGCAGGACAAGATGGCGGCCCCGGGGGCACCCGCAGGTGCCGGGGCCGCCCCGCGCGCATGCGCAGAGCCGCCGGCAGGTGCCACCTCCTCCTGTGCTATATCTGAGTACGCCGCCAGCCGCACGTATAAGGGACCGCATCACGCCCTCTGGGACTGCTTCGATCCCTCCGCCGCCTCTAAAAGCAGTTCCAATAGCTGGAGGCTCGGCGTTCTCGAAGCGGGAACACGGAGCTAGAGACGCGCCGCTGCCCGAGCGCGCTCTGCCTCCCTTGGGGCTCGGCTTCGGGCACTCCGCGGGCTGGCCCGAGGGACTCCTTCCCTCGAAGCTCAAGCGGAAGGATATATAGTTTTTATTTTTTTATCCGCCATCTGCTGAGCAACGGTTTCAGGGGTGTGGCCAGGCGCGCGAGCCCCGCCCCTCCGGGCCAATCACGGTGGGAGATTCGCCTCCGGCCCCGCCCCACTGGCGCGGCGCAGCCAATAGGATTGCGGGACGGGGGCACGCGCACGGCTGAGGGGGCGTGTGCGCGGCGCGGCTCCGACAGTGTCGCTTGGCCGCTGTGGCGGTCGGTGCAGGGGGGTGGAGGGGAGTGGGACCCGTGCCCGGTGTGACTGCAGGGTGCGCCGGCAGCGGGGCCGGGGGGGAGCAGGTGAGGGCAGCGACAGGACTGGACGTCTGCCCGGGTGGGCAGGCCGGGGTGTTGGTGAGGCGGAAGGAGCTTGGCCTGGTCGCCTTCTCCCTCCCTTCGGCTGCCGCCCGGCGCTCTGACTCCTCGGAGGAGGAAACAAAGAGGCGGCGGGGGTGGGAATAGCCAGGAGCTGCGCTGCAGCCATTCTGGAATTACCTTCCTGGTGTTTCCTTCCACCCACCCCCGCCGAGTAGTGATTAACAGGACCGTGGGCGGGGGGCGACCTGTGGGTGTGCGGGGGCCCGGCTGGAGCCGCTCGGAGAAGCGGGGGCGGCGGCCGGGAGAGGAAGGAGGAAGCGCTCACTGCCCTGCGTGTTTCTCTCGTCCTTCCGTCGCTTTCCTCGCTGAAGGCCTCCCGATGAGTTAAAATGGTGCTGAGGCTCGAGGGGAGCTGGTCGCTGCTCGTAGGGAAGAGGTTCCTCTGCCTGTCGGAAGAGGAGGACAGGACGTGGGACGCCAGCCTCATCTCGGAATGGCCCTGGAAGTCGGGCAGGATCCGGGCTGTGTCACACACGGACATATCCAAACAAGACCTGAAGGTAATCGGGAACTTTCAGAGAGACCTGCTAAATGGGGAAGTTGGTGTGGCTGTGTGTACACGTGTGTGCCCACGCTGCTCTCGGGGGCAGAGCAGACGCGTTTGGAAACGTGCGCCCCTGCCCGAGTCCCCGATGTGCTTGTACTGATCCCGCAAATTACCTGTTAACTAATTGTAAATGTGCTTTCTTTCACCGGCATTTTGCAAAACAGGTTTTTACCGCAGCCACTGTTCCTATGGTTTATTTCCTAAAGGTAATTTAAGGTCTTGCCAGCCAGTTTATTTGCACCCTGAGTTGAAACCGAAACTCTCCTATGCTGCTGGGATTGGTGTCTTTTCTTTTCTGTTCTTTGGAGCGGCTGCTCGTTAACAACTGCTTAGGTTTTAAAGTCACCACATTCATGCTGGTGCTGGAGGTCTCTCGGACTCTTCTTGCATGGTGGCCTCTTCTTATTAATGATTACCGAGTGGGTTTTTGAACACGTAGTTATTGCAAGCGTGGTGTAATTGGTTAGCTGTGTAGTTTGTGTGGGAGTCAAGCTGAGTTTACGGTTTGGCTGTGAAGTTGTTAAGGGGCTTTATTTGGCAGCTGAAGTCATTAGAAGTATCCAGCCATGTCTGGACACTTAACTAGAGTATAGATTGAGTGCTTGCTCCCCAAGGACAAAACTCCATTGTAGCAGCGGCATCTTGTGCTTGTTTCTGCAGAAGACTTCGATGGCTGTCCTGTGACAGCAAGAACAGCACCATCTTTCCATTTTAACTGTCTCCGTTCCTATTTTTTGTTAATGAGAACGTAGTGACCTCTGATTAACTGACTTACTTGTCGAACAAAACAAAACTTTGGATGTTTCTAACTCTTTCTTGAAAGCGTAAACTTCGTTATCAGCTTGTTGTTGTGGATCTGCGGCAGGGGTGGAGCTTTGTCCATTTTTGGGCGCGGGGCTGTGCCCTGTGCTGTGCTGGTAGTGAGGAGCAGGTTCTTGGTGCAGAAAACTCTTAAGGACTTCGTCCACAAAGGAAAAGAAGCAGGTGCTGAAGCAGGGATTCTGTTGTGAGCTTTGTAGCTGGTTATGGTTCTGCCAGAAGCGATTGGCTTGATGTGTTCTCCAGTTGAAGTGTTAAAGAAGTTGCAGAGTGAGCAATGGAGTTGTGGAGAACTTTGTACCAAAACATATCCCAGCTTCTTTCCTCTCAGAGTTTTGTGCAAGCCTGACAGACCCAAAATAATAAAGGACTGGGGGGGGGGGGGTTAAATATTTCTCCTGTAAAAGAGTAGAAGTGTTTCTTTCAATTTTTATTTTGTATAGAAGAACTGTCAACTGCTGTTGAAATGATTTTTCTCAACTGTGTTTTCCTGTGTGTGCAATGTTGATGCAGTAGACAAAACAAGCCATTCTGGTTCTGGTTGTTATGTGCTTATCTCTTTAATTGTTTCTGTGCACCTCAAAATTACCAAGTTCATTTCTGCACCCATTAGTTTGATGACTCCTGGCTGTGGTAATGCTGTTTTGTGCATGTTTTCACTTGCCTTTCCCCTGAGAGGGATGATAAAACATCAGGAAATGTTTCTGAGATTCACTCAGTTGAGATTTCTGTGCTGTTCGTTAAATGTAGTTAGGCTGGATTGCTGTGTTCTTTGGGAAGAGGGAATGATTTTGTCAAAAGTAGATTCCTCTACCAAGATGTTCCAATTCTTATAGTCAGGCCAAGTTGTATTTGTGGTCTTTCTCAATAATTTGCTGATCTCCCATGTTGCCTTTGAAATTAGGGTAATGCTAACCCAAAGACGTTGGTGAAGCCATCATATTTTTGTCATGAAATTGTTTTCCTCTTGAAAAATCTGAAATTTACATGGATAAATAGCAGTTAAAAGCAGTCAGGAAGTGGCCTTCACATTACATAATTTTTTACGTCCTACTGGCATTTGTGCTTTCAATAAATTGGCTGAAATTATTCTTTGGGATTGGCATTTTTAAATGTTTCTGGAAAAAAAAAAACAGCTTGTTTATTCCAGTGCTCTAGAGTTTGTGGAAAGTCCTTGTGCCACTACTTTAGCTTTAGTGGACTTTTTTAGGGGGATGTATATATTTTTCCCTGCTTGTAAATGCCAGTGACAATGTTAACATATCTAACTATCTTTGAGCAGCATAAAACTTTCTGAGATGGGAAGTTGTAAAGTTAAATGTAAATACTGTTATTTTATGTGAGTAATGATGATAAACCAATTAACATTGACTGTCACTTATAAAATACTGGCTCAACCTTGGATGCTTTAGTGATTGCTTGATTATGTGACAGGCAATAAGCATGCTGGAATTACAATTTAATGATTTTTTTATTTTTGAGTAAATTGATAGCTTTATCTTTTCCATGTTGAATGTGCCTGAATTTTATAGGTAGTCACTCACTCACTTTGCTTCCTTTCTGTAGATTTGTGTAGAATTTGATGACGAGTCATGGGAAAAGCGAAGATGGATAGAAGTCTACAGCAGGATGATGATAGCATTCCTGGTGGAGCAAAAGCTGGTGCTGGCTGAAAGAAAAACCCAGTCCATGCCTCCTGTCCAGTGGCCTGCAATGGCAAGTACACTCTTGGCTTGAGTCACTTCGGTTCTGCAGTTCCACCTCTGGGACAGCATTGTCACCAGTGTGAATTTCTCCAGTGCAGCCTCACTTCTGGGTGCCTTGGGAAGGGAGAAAATCTCTTTGTGCAGCTCAAGCTGACAGAGCTCAGCAGCATTTGAAGTTGGTGGTCACAGGGATGTGTTTTTATGACTTTGTTTCTGTCTCAAGCCACTGTTCTGTACATTATTAATTCATTCTCCCTCTAGTCTCATGTTTTGTTTCTTCTTCCCTGAAATCCCTCTTAAAATAGAGTGAAAAAGTGTAAATGATAGGTTTCTAAGGATAGCCTGTGTTTTTATTTTAACTTTTTGACTCTGGCTCAAGTTAATGCTATGGTGATTCTTAATCCTGAGACAAAAATAATTCAGATTACTTTTTTGTGATGCCTGCCTGCTATGAGTGATTGTGAGACTTAGATTTTCTGCATACAAAAAGCTGAGTGACATTGTACAAGGAGAGAACTAAGCTTTCTGTACCTGCCATGCATGGCTGAATA